GATTCGTAACCCCTACGCTACCAGAGTGCTCTCTCTCTCTCTCTCTCTCTCTCTCTCTCTCAATATATATATATATATTTGGTGTTGTTGTTATTAAGTGCCATCGAGTTGGTTCCAACCCATAGCAACCCCGTATACGGTTTCCGAGGAGCAGCTGGTGAGCTTGAACCGCCAACCTTGCAGTACAAACAGCTTTGCAATCTGGTGCATTAACCCACAGTGCCACACTAGGACTCCATATATATGTATGTATACATGTATATATCTATATCTATATCTATACTGTTTGTTGTTAAGTGCCATCGAGTCAGTTCCGAGCCATAGTTACTCTGTATAGTGTTTTCAAGGAGCGTTTGGTGAGCTTGAACTGTCAATCTGATCTTGCAGTTCAAACAACTTGCAGCCCAGAGCATTAAGTATTAACCTACAACACTACACCAGGACTGTGTATGTGTGTGTGTGTGTGTGTGTGTGTGTGTGTGTGTGTAGGACTACTGTGTAGAGATGAAGAGGGTGTGGCATGAGGTCATGGTGAATACAAGAATTCCAAAAAGGAGGCATTTAGTCATTGCAAAAAGTGATGATGTTTTGGTCGGGGGAAGTGATGATGAAGATGAGGTAAGTGGAAGATTTAAGAAATATTTTTGGAGAGCAAAGAGCAAAAGAACCTGGTGATATGAAGGGGCCAGTGTGCTGAGAGTATGGGAGTCACTGGAATAGTGTATATGTAACTTGAAAACATACATGTTAGACATCACATTCTTAAAAATTGATTTAAAATTTTTAATATAAAAATTTCTCACCAATGATGTCTCTCCTTATACTTTTTGCTTAAGACCTTCTCCTTTGAACTCACTTTCTCCCCCATAAAATTGTTCTCTTTGAGCATTCTAAAATATTCTATATTCCTGGCCTTACAACCATTTCTCCATAGCAACTTTAACAATATTAGTATGATGACAATTTAACACTTAGTACGACTCTCCTTTTTTGGTCCTGACTTTGTATTATCACTGTTTCATTATATTGCTGCTAAATTGTCTACCGTGATTTCATCCTTAGTAATACAAATATGTTGCAAAAGTATTGTTTGCATTTTTTTTGCATATCTTAGATTATATTCTTAGGCTTATACATTCACCAGGATGTCATGGGGTTGTGCTTGAGGTTGGAAACAGTGTGCTTCAGGTTTTCTTAAGACCCTTATATCCTAACATCTCATTTGCTACTGTTATCAATATATTGGACAAGACTGCCTTTTATTGTTTCCTAGAGATCATTCTATATGTCATGCCCTATACTAAAAAATATCAGTTTTACAAGTGAAATTAAAAGCTAATATACAGTAGTGTTCATATTAAGTAATTTATGGCAGAAATGTAAAATCAAAATGTTTAATAATGAGTAATGACTTATAAATCTTATCTATCTCTGGGGAGGAGGATTGCCTTTACCTAATATTGAATCTATATTTGTACTCTTTTGAAGGGAACATCCTTCTAAGTCTGAACTCCCAATGTTTCCATATCCAGATTTGTTCACCAGGGTGGATAAAGAGTTGGCAAGAATCGTTGACCATCACGTAAGATTGATTTTCTTAAACTAGCAGAAAAATCTTTATTTTTTAAAAAGTGCCTTAACATAGAAAATGTAGTTACAAGATTAAAACATAAACTGTGTACCTTAAAAGTCTAGCTAGGAGTAATCATTGCCAAACTATATGTTATTGTACTACTTATATACTTCAATGCCTTCATTGGGCTACAGTAAATTTGGCCTTCTGTCATTTGTAAAATACTAGCCTGACTTTGTTTTCTTAATTACTACTGATATCTGTTAACAATCAACTCTTACTTTTACATATGTCTGAATGATGCTTTTCTCTGTAACAGTGGCAAGAGGAGTTAAAGATCCGACAGGAAGAAGATGCCATATGTGAAGCTGAAGCACTTAAAGATAAAGAGTTAAAAGAAAAAAATCATTTCAGAGAAGTTATGAAGAAAAGAGAAGAGAAACTACATAAGACAACCAAACCTTATGAGCTTCCTTCAAGAACCGAAGCAATTCCAGTAGAAAAATAAAGAGTAACAGCCAAAGAAATCAATGCCAATTTGCTAGACGTTCACTGTAAGAAAAAAAAGATTCACAATAGGAAAACTTTCTTGCCACTAAGTTGAGGACATTTTTTTTTTAGAAAATAGTTGTTATCCTAGTGTAAGTACTTTAATAGTCATACCTTAGTTATCAATTATTAGTCAAATCTTCATCACAGTTGAGTGATTTCACCATTACAAATTTTTCAAGAATATGGCTACTGCTTTCCCTATATGACTCTTGTGATCATAGAGCATACTTTATCAATGATATTCAGAGTTTTGATTAACTGAAAATCAAGTTGATTTAAATAGAAATCAACTACAAGCTCTTAATGAATCACATATGAGAATTAATTCTTGAAAACTAAAAGAATGAACAACAGCTGATACTTCTGTAGTAATCATTTGTCAAATAAAACAAGTTGTGGCATTGCTTTCATTTGTAATTTGTAACGAATCTATGCAGAACGAAACGCCGAGTCAATAAATTAAATAGGATAAATTACTATATATAAACAAATCTTGAACAGCTAGTCATCTCAGATAGGCTTTGTTTTTAATGGATGCCAGAAGAGATTTCTGAGTAACAGATGTTTTACTTTGGCAGATGAGCTTTTGATTCTAAAAGGTCAAGTAGCTGTTATTGGAAGAATACATCCAATCTTGAAGTCGTAAAGAAAAAATGTCACTATAGTCATACTTCATCTGAAGCTCTAAATTTATGGGTAACAGGCATTCCTTATACTGGAAAATACAAATGATAACCAAACCTCACTTTTACACACTTGGCTCTGTAACACCAAAGAGACAGGGTGTCATAGGTGTCAAACTCAGATGACTAAATAAATAAAAAATGTCACATAAATTAGTGAAGGGGGTTAAGGAACACCTACTCATGGAAGCAGTAGTCAAGAAATTAGATGACATATTGTGTTAGGCAAATCTGCTGCACAAGACTTTTTTAAAGTGTCGAAGAGCAAAGATGTCAGCTTGAGGACTAAGGTGCACCTGACCCAAGTCAAGGTATTTTCAATAACTTCATATACATGCGAAAACTGGGCAGTGAATAAGGAAGACTGTAGAAGAATTGATGCCTTTGAGTAATGGTGTTGGAGGAGAATATTGAAAGTGCCATGGGCTGCCAAAAGAGCCAATAGATCCATTTTGGAAGAAGTGCAGCCAGAGTGTTCCTTGGAGACCAAGATGGCCAAACTTCGTCTCTCATACTTTGGACATATTGTCAGGAGGGACCAGTCACTGGAGAAGGATATCATGTTTGGTAAGGTGGAGGGTCAGAGAAAGAGAGGAAGACCCCCAACGAGATGAATTGGCTAAGTGGCAGCATCGATGGACTCAAGCGTGGCAACAGTAGTGAGGTTGGCCCAGAATTGGGCAGTGTTTCATTCTGCTGTGCATAAGGTTGCTATGAGTTGGTACCTACACTATAGCACCTAACAATAACAACAAACTTCACCTAAAGAAAGTTACCATTTTGAAATGCATGTCCAGTGTTATAGAATCATCCTGTCTTTCACGAAAAAGTTAAGAAAGAGCTGCCTCCTCAAAATAGAGTTGACCTTAGCGATGTCTATAGAGCAAAACTTTGGGGAGCATAATTTTCTGATTGGACACAACACAAAATGAAAGAAACAACTGCAAATATCCATTTATAATTAGAAGATGAGATTTATGAAGAATAGATCTAGGATAATTGGAAGTCATCAAAAATAAAATGTAATGCATTTTAGTGAGCTTAGCTGGATTAGTATTACCATTTTTAATCAGGCAAGCATGATTTATTATGTGGGAATGGCAAATTCAAGAGAAATGGTGCAACATTCATCATCAGAAAGAACATTTCAAGATCTGCATGGAAGTACAATGCTGTGTTTGTGGTAAGACAATATCCATATGTGTAAAAATAAGGCCAGTTAATATGACAGTTATTCAAATTTATGTACCAACTACTAAGCCAGTGATGTGGAAATTGAAGAATTCTACCAAATTGTTGAGTCTAAAATTGATCAAACATGCAATTACAATGCACTAGTATTTATGAGTGAATGAAATGTAAAGATGTATACAAAGAGGAAAGATTGGTAGCTGGGAAATATGGCCATGGTGATAGAAATGATACTGGAGTTATGATGATAGAAATTTTTAAGACCTATGAGTGCTTATTCATTGAAAATATCTTTTAACAACAATATCAAAGGTAACTGTACACATGGAAAACAAAACAAAACAGATGGAGTATACAGGAATCAAATTGACTACATATGTGGGAAGGATTGATGGTGAAGTTCAATATCATCAGCCAAAAAAGGACAGGGGTCAACTCTCAAGTGGACCACTGATTGCATATGTACACGTTCAGGCTGAAGTGGAAGAAAATGAGAACAAGTCCACCACAGATAAACTATGACCTTGAGTGTATCACATTTGAATTTAGAGAATATCTCAAGTATAGATTTGATTCATTATACACAAATGAGCGAAGACCAGAAGAGTTATAGAATAACATCAATAATGTCATAAATGAAGACACAAAAGAAAGAAAAGAAAAAAGACAATAATGGATGTCAGTAGAGACTCTGAAACTTGCTCTTGAACACAGCGAAGCTAAAGTAACTGGGAGAAAGGATGAAGTAACAAAGCTGAAAAATATTTCAAAGGTCTAGAGTCCTGGAGTGGTGCTGTAGAAAAAGCACTTGACCTTAAGGACGGTTTGATCTGCAAGGTCAGCTATTCAAACTTACCATCAGCTGTTCCTTGGAAGCCTTATATAGGGTTGCTATGAGTTGGAATTGACTTGCAGGCACTTAGCAACAACAATAGAGAAGAATAAGTAAAGTATTATAATGAAGTATGCAAAGTTCTGGGAGCATGGTGGCTCAGTAATATAATCACTGGCCTGTGAAACACAAGGTCCACAGTTCTATGAATCACAAGGTCCATGGTTTAAACTTTCAGCCTCTGAGGGTGAAATATGAGGCTTTCAGCTCCTGTGAAGATTTAAAAACTCAGAAACCCTATATAGGGTCACTGTGAGTCAAACTGACTGGACTAAACTTAACAACAATAACAATGCACGGTTAAGGACATAGAAAATCAAAAGGAAACAACATGCTCAGCATTTCTCAAGCTGAAAGAAGTGAAGAAACAATCCAAACCTCGAGTTGTAATACTGAAAGATTCTATGGGCAAAATACAATTCAAAAGCAACTGCAATGGCACATTGGTAGGTAACTGCCAGAGGTTCAAGTCGGATGCAGACAAAGACATGGGATAAGGGATATAATTGCTCATGTCAGGTGGATCTTGACTGAAAGTAGACAATACCAGAAATATGTTTATCTGCACTTTATTGACTATGCAAAGTCAATAAAGTGCAGATAAGCATTCAACTGTGTGAACTGTGACAAGCTATCAACAACATTGCTGAAAATGAGCATTCTGGAACACTTTATTGTTCTCATGAGGAACCTGTACATTCACTAAGGGATAGTTGTTCAAACAGAACAAGGAAACACTGAGTGGTTTAAAATTAAGAAAGGTGTGTGCCAGGATTATATTCTTTTACCATACCTATTCAATCAGTATTCTGAGCAAATAATTTAAGAAGCTGGATTACATGAAAGAAAAATATGGAATCAGGATTGGAAGAAGATTCAGTAACAACCTGTGATATGCAGATGATACAAACTTGCTTGTTGAAAATCAATGAAAATCAAAGACCACAGCCTATGGTGAGGTTTGCACTTCAATGTAAAGAAAACAAAAATCCTCACTATTGGACCAATAAACAGAATCAAGATAAATCAAGAAAAGTTTGAAGTTGTCAAAGGCTTCATTGTGCTCAGATCCACCATCAACATTCATGGGAAGAGCAGTCAAGAAATCAAATGACATACTGCATTAGGCAAAGCTGATGCGCAAGACCTCTTTAAAGTGTTGAATAGCAAGATGTCAATAGCAAATGTCAATAGCAAGATGTCAATAGCAAGATGTCAATAGCAAAGATGCTTGACCCAAGCCATGGTATTTCAATAACCTCATATGCATGTGAAATTTAGACAATGAGTAAAGAAGACTGTAGAATTGATACATTTGAGTTATGGTGTTGGAGGAGAATATTGAAAGGACCGTGGACCACCAAAAGAACAAACAAATCTGTGCTGGAAAAAGCAACAATGCTCCTTAAAACCCAGGATGACCAGACTTCATCTCTCATGCTTCACACATGTTATTAGGAGGAACCAATCTCTGGAGAAGGACATCATGCTTGTTGAAGTGGAGTGTCAGAGAAAAAGATCCCCAATGAGATGGATTGTCAGAGTGGCAGCAGCAATGGGTTCGAGTATAGGAATCATTGTGATGTTGGCACAGGACCATTTAATGCTTTGTTCTGCATAGGGTCTCTATGAGTTGATATCGACGTAACAGCACCTGATAACACCTGATAACAACAACAAATTGCCAAAATGTAATTTTGCTATTGCACTGTAGCGTAGCAGTGCAGGGTTAACTGCAAAATTGGCAATTCAGATTCACCAACCTGTCCTTGGAAAGCTTATACAGAGTTTCTATGAGTTGGAACAAATTCAACAGCACTTAACAACAGCAACAGCATGGGTAAAATATTGAATAATTCAGGAAGCATCAAAAGAAGATGGAAAGATGTACAAAGTCACTGTATCCAAAAATATCGGTGTGATAGCCATTTCAAAGGGTTTCATATGATCAAGAACTGATGGTATTGAAGGAAGGTATTCAAGCTGCACTGAAGGTATTGGTGAAAAAGAAGGCTCCAGGAACTGACAGAACACAAACTAAAATAATTCAACAAATTGATGCAGCACTGAAGTTGCCTGCTTGACTATGCCAAGAAATTTGGGAGGCAGCTATCTGGACAACCTATTGAAATAGATTCATATTTGTGTCCATTCTAAAGAAAGGTGATCCAACAGAATGCAGATCATTGG